ACGATTGCGTGACAGCGCTCCACACTGAGCGCTGTAAGTTGAAGTATAGAGGCCGCGCCAATGAAGATATCAAACGTGATGTACAACTGATACGTTGTTGGGTTCACTGGGGATTGCTTGTGGGACAATGTGAAAATGTACAACCAGCAGGGAATGGAGACAAAGCCTACAAGAATATCACTGACTGCCAGACCCATTATAAGCGTGTTGGTGGCAGTGCGCAGGCGTTTGTTGATGGAAAACGCTGACAGAACGAGTCCATTTCCAGTTATGATGGCCACCAAAAGAAGCACATAAAGTGCAACCATTATCCCCAGTTCTATATTTGACATTTTAGTCAAATATACGGACGAATTTCCGGCCTGGACCTCCGTCTTGTTTTCCAGACTCATTTTTCGGGGAATATGATCGCCGAGCTTGTGTTGATAAAACCTGCAACAGATACAAATTACGATTATTTCAAGGCAAAATAAGAAATACCATTTAACGAAAAAGTTACCCGACTGGGAAATCATCCAGTTAGATGACTGCAGAATCGAAGTCTTGGCTCTGAGCTGGAATGTGTGAAACTGGTCAAAAACACTCGTGCACAAGTCTAAATAGCGTGCTGATTTCCCACGACTCGGTTAATGTTGAATAACTGCCAGAGAACTCTTATCTATACACAAACCTCCACACTAATTTTGTTCGAAAACATCAATTAATCATGTCAGTGCGCCCATTATTGCACAAAAACTGCGACTAAAGAAACATTGAGGTAATTTTTTTAAGGGTGTACGTACTTGACGACCATGGGAAAAGTAAATAGTAAGTTTCTCCTATTTTGTATGATTTTACCACAAGTAAATTTTGACTGAACACAATTTCAGAAAGACTGTTGGTTTCGTTCAAGGAAAACGAGCCGACCTAGATAATTCATAAGAAATGGAAATCATGAAAAAAGAAAAGAGATAACGAAGGTTGCCAACCCCTTTAAATAATAGACGGTTTTTTTCGTGATTTCTATTGAAGAAATGTTAACCGAAAATATAGTGGCAGATTTATCTCTTTAAATTTGATCTTTGACTCAACTAGAAGTCATCCAGACAAAAATCAGTGATAACAATTTGTTTCACGGACAATAAGCAAAGTCGTCGTTCACAATACTTATAATTAAAATAGAAATTAAACCTTTTAACCGTTTACAGGCGCCACTGAACGCAATGGGTAGCAGACGATTCTTTTCAAATTGAACTGGAAGTCATCCAGACAAATTTGATGGCAATTTCTTCAGCGAGTAGCACGCAAAGTTGCCGTGCACAATATTCATAATTCAAATTCAAATTAAACTAAATCCAGCATGTGGTTGGTTGGTTGGTTATCTCTAATTTCTGGTGTTGGCACGTTCTCTTGTTAAAAGTTATTTATGAAGAGAACATGGCTTGAAAAAACTCAACTAAAATGCCCATTGTAAAGCTAATGTTATAAACAGACCTACAAAAGAAATTTTTAATCTTACTCTAAGGAAGTCTAGCCGAGTTTTTGAATTATTTATACATAACAATCATATTTCAAAACTAACAATCCGCCAAATTTTAAACAGACTAAGATAAAATATAAGAAAGTAATGCTCGCTTTCACAATAATTTTAGTTGATTTAAGCGTTTTCTCTCACGTCTTGTTTACCGAACAACAAAATGAATAACACATATATTTTGCAAATTTTTGAACGAACTTACCTCTATTGATCATATGTCGGCTAAAGCAGAACACTTTTAAAAGTTGTTATTTGGTATAATGACGTTATTTTGGTCTACAAACAGGTGATCAGTTTGAAGGACATACACAATAAGCGAAGATTTTGTTGTGGGGCCAAATATTTAGAAATTATGCTTTTGAGAAAGCTTAGATTTGTCGAGCTAAGGTTAACTCACAAATGTGGAACACTCAATAGTATTGTTAAACGCCTCTTCCGTTTGCCTTAGAAACTTTTCACTGTAAAACTTTGTGTTCGTTCGTTCACCTTTGTGCATGACTGTATCGTTCTTGCGGCCTTGGTTTCTACCTCCCCTCGATACATCCAGGGTAGGCTGTCGCTAAAGATTATTCTGTTTTTCTAGTTTTTAATTGGTTAATCTCTGCTTGCCTTATCAAGTCAGCTGCGTTCGTTTAGTATTTACATCCGAGTACTTTATTTTGTACCACCTGGTTTACCCTTGGCTTGAATCCTAGGCGTAGCTAGAATTAGCATAAAAATAGGCGAATTGTAAAGTTGTATTAAGTAGAAGCATAGCAGTAGAACAGGAAAAAGAAGTAGAAGTAGTAGTAGTCGTGGATTAAACTCTGATAATCTTAATCTCAGAGTCCCGATACCTCTCGTTGGTGACCAGTTAGTCCCATGCAATTTTAACAAGAACAGACCCGCTAGCTAGATAGAGAAGAAAACGTGTTTATGTCATTTGGTTAGTTATTTACGCCGCAAATATCAAAATCGAATCACCTATGTTTTCTGAGAAAGCTCAAAAGGCGATAAAAATGATTGACCCAGTCCCTTATCGCTCTCTTTCTCTCGGGGATTAAGTGGTTGGTACAAACCTGAGAACGAATTTGTTTTTCATTCGTTGACGTCATGAAATTTCGCGCAAAAATGAGGGTCGATGAAATGGAACGGAATGCCTTTGGACCGTACGTCTTGTCAGCTCTCAAAACGACTAAATATATGTTTCTTTAAGAAAGCTTCTCAAACTCATTAATAATTCATCAAGTGTAAACAAAGGAAATCATGACCTTGTCGGTGTTTGGATATCTGATCTTAATTAGCATAGATTGTAACGATTTTATTTCTCCGTTTTCTTCTTAGCTTTAGTTTCGATTGAGAAGATATATCAAGTAATCACCCCGAAGCTCGTCAAAAACAATCTGCCACGCGTTGAAATTTTCAACTCTCTTCTCTTTGTTTCGAACGTGGTCAAACACGGTCTTTCGTGTTTGA